CATCTTTACGAATGTGCCAGGTCTCGCATCCGTACAACAGTACAGCACGAACAGTTGCACAATAGACCCGCCCTTTGATGGAGAGACGAATGTCGTGGCGACGCCACAAATGCCTCAGCCTAGAAAAAGCGAAGCCTGCTCCCGAGATGCGCATCGAAATCTCATCTCCAACAACCCCGGCAGCAGTGATACAACTTCGCAAGTAGACCAAGCTCTCCACAACCTCCATTGTCTCACCAGCAAGAGTGAGTGCAGACAGAGGCACCTGCCAGTCTTGGAAGAGAGCCTTGCATTTGGATGGCGAAAAGTACATACCGTACTTTGATGCTTCAATCGCCAAGCGGTTTAATGCAAGTTGGACGACCTGTGGATCGTCACCCAGCAAGACGATATCATCAGCATAATCCAAATCAACAACTCGACTACCTGGAAGGAGCTCAACGCCAGCATTCAACGAATCTCCCAGAGCGTTCTTCAAGACATCCTCAGTGGCAAAGTTGAATAGGAACCGAGAGATAGGGCATCCTTGTCGAACTACATTGGAGACTACAAAGGTAGGCGAAAGCTTGCCATAAGCCCTAACCCTGCTCGAGGTCGGACTATATAGAGCGCGTAGTATGGAGACGAACTTCTCGGGGACACCATTCCTCAGTAGGCAGTGCCACAGTACTGTGCGATCGACAGAATCGAAGGCTGCACGGATATCCAGGAACACAGCAATCGTTGGCCTCTGATACACATGGCGGAGCTCGAGGATCTGGCGAAGTGTGAAGATTTGATCGATGCAGCCGCGACCAGGGCGAAACCCAGCTTGTTCTTCTCGTTGCAACGATTCACGCGTTGGGGATAGCCTGCGAAGTATGATGGACACCAGCAGCTTGCAAACGACGGGGACTAAACGTATTCCTCTGTAGTTGGAGCAGCTTCTGCGCAGGCACTTTTTGAAGATGGGGATGACTATCGATTCACCCCAAGATGACGGAACTTTCTCTTTCGACCAAATTTTCGAGAACAAAGCGGTGAGTTCTCGAACCAGCGATGCACCACTGTCTTTAAATAGAGCCGGAGGAAGACCATCAGGGCCGGGGGATTTATAACGCTTCATGTGCCGGAGCTCCTGCTCGATTTCCTGGGAATAGGGAGGATCTGTGGGGGTAGACCATTCGGCCCCAACGCGAGCGCCAGAGGTAGCAGATGGAGCTGGGGGCCAAAAAAACTGCGAACCAAAATGTTCGACCCATCGCTCAACCGTCGTTGAAGATTGGTGATTAAGATGCCATCCTCTTCGCATATTGTTTCACTTATACTAGATCGAACACCTTCGGTGACTCGAATGAGATGGAAAAGTTTTCTGGTATTACCAGAGAGACTAGCAAGCTCCATCTCCCTAGCACGTTCACACTAACAAGCTTCGCGGTCCATCTGCAGACTCCTGCGCAACTCTCGACCAAGGTATTGGCGTTCTTCACTGTGTCTGGAATCCGATGGGATCAAGCGGCGTCTGTCCATCAGCGACAAGAAGTCGGCGGAAATCCAATGCTTCGGTGGGTGACGGGTAACTCCACAAGTGCCGATACTGGCGCAAACTAAAGCGTCTTTGATATGCGCCTACTGCGAATCGAGATCACCGTCAATAGTTTAGCCAAGCAAGGTTGACAGTGAGGTTTGGTACCTGGTTAAAATCGCAGGGTTTTGTAAATTCGCGACGCCTGGTCGGTAGTGAGCGCGCTTAGGTGATCCTCCGAAACGCATGCAAATCTTAGCACGAACCAATGCGTGATCAGAGTCTATAAAAGTTGACCAGTACGATCGGCAGTCCGTTGCTCTTCCGCGCCATCTATAGCTGATTGCTATGTGGTCAAGCTGGGAGCACTCTTGCGTTTGTGAGAGCGGGCGCCAGGTACCAGTGTGTCTCCTCGAGTGTCGAAAACTAGTGTTCAGAAGAAACAAGTGATGATCAGAGCAAAGAGCAAGTAGTCTGTCTCCATTGTCTGATCGACTGCCACCGAAACCAAAGCTATCCCCAGGGTGGTGCTCGCTTGGTGGAAGGCGGCCAACCTGTGCATTAAAGTCCCCGGCAAGAATGACTTTATCAGTCTATTTGGAGGAACGCAGAAGTTCATGTAGTTGTTGGTAAAAGCTATCTTTAACTGCATCCGGGCTGCAGTCTGTAGAGGCGTAGGCGGAGACGACAAATAAGGCACGCCTAACATCTTGACGCCTGCTTACGTTACATGAACCTCGTAGTCTGACTGCACATAGCCGACTGTTGACTGGGATCCAGTCAACAGAGCTGATTCAGCCCTGGTACTCAGTACAACCCCAACACCACCTTGGCCAGTAGCGGCAGCTTCTGGGTCTCCGGAAAGCCTCAATTGGTATTTGGCGTCAGAGTTTACCGGAGAGGCCATTCTGATGACGGCGCTAGAGTCTTGTAGTCTGGTCTCTGAAAAGCAACAGATGTCTACCGAAAGCGTTTCAAGAGTACGGGCCAGACATGCTTGTCGTCCGCTCTGCATCAAAGTTCGAACATTAAACGCTGCGGGGATGAATGGAGAACCAGGTCGAAGAAGAGCTGGAGCTTCGGTGGAGTAAGAGGTTGCTATCGCAGGACATTGAAAACCGGGTGTTTGCTGTTGCTTTCATCAGTTGCGAGACGACTGGTATCTGTGGCTAATTTGCCCAGTGCTGCTTGGCCCGTTTGGGCGCTGTCAGAGATGAGGGCAATATCGTTGACGTACTCCAAGTCACCTGGGAGCAGTTCCACACGTTGTTGGTCGCGCCCATTGTACGCAGTTAAATATGGTGACAGCAGGCAACATTGTGTCACTTTGCCCGAACCATACGCGTGCAGCGCTCATGATATTTATGTATTTATCGGGCGTACTGAGGACATGACCTAGCCAACTTAAGCGGTTGTGCTTATACAAGAACTCCAGTAAGGCACCAGATGGCTTTTTTCTTGAAACCCATTGGGGGCCTCATGATTGCTCACTAGGTGTTCGCACCAGACGTGAGCAGTACTCCGCAAGCACCTGTGGTCAAGCATGGCCAAGCGTTTGATGTCTTCACTGCGAGCTGGCCAGGTTTCTGAGCTAAACCGTAATCCCGGCCTTATCGTAGTGTTATCCACTACACCCTCTACTGGCACTCTGATATCTCGCTGACTCCATTTATGGTTAAGTGTATGGAAACCCAGACTAGCCTTGCTGATGCACTAAGTATACTTGACGGTGATCTGACCACCAAACGTGACACAGCTACCAAGCTAAATAAATTGATCCACTACTTCCATTGGCTGCTCGGTGATGGTAAGAACCGGTGGCGTATCGGTCCATTTCTGAAGCAATAGTTTCCACTTTGAGGGTATAAAAAATAACGATGCTTTTGCACTCAACTGTTAATTTTGTAGATCGCACTATGACAATTGCTATTGTATTTCGACCCATATATTTTCCATGTCCGATAAGCATGGTGTAATCTTGTTTTCAGGTTTTTCCATTTGTTTTGCTATCTTCGCTGAAATATATCCTATTTCCTATTTTGCATGCCTTTCGCTCAATAGCACTTCTACTCGGCTCTGGAGGTCAGCATGTTTACCGATTTGCTCGTTTGCCTTTTCATTTGCATCCTCGTCGATGCGTTACTCGAATCCGTGTCACCGTCTTATGATTCTCCTTGAAGTGTTTAATCGCACGGAGAAGTGTTTCCTCTTTAACAAAAACGGTTGTAAAGATTCTGTTAATATGGATCTTTCAAAGCAGGTCTAGCCCTAGCTCAGTCGTCGGAACAGAATGCCAGCGAATCTGCCAATGAGCATACTGCTCTGCAAAGCATTCCTCCAACTCATCCGGTGTTTCACCCCTTGTACCCTATCCTCACCTGTCGCAAAATCATATAGTTCTATTTCATTTCATACTGGCCTCTATTGATTTCTCACCTCCAACTCGATCTGAGGAGAAAAGAGAACATCAGTGGTTCGCTAACACGTTGCTTTTTGCCTCCACCTAACCACCAGCAGTCGTGTACGGGCTAGGGGTACTCCGACTTCGCCCTTGCTCATGCAGGCTCGAATCAGTGACCAGCACATTCCGAGCTAGACACTTCAACCACTACCACCGACTGCCACTATTATGAGAGTTCTGTTGCGCTTGTAAACTTTGTTTTCTTGCTGCTGTCTGCGTTGTACGTTTCTTTGTGATGTTTGCTCTGGACTGTGGTCACCATAGATAGTTCTCGAAATTTGCACTGAATCCGGATCATATTGCACATCGGATCATACGATTAGTTGCGGGCCGTCATAGACTACGTCTACTTGAAGGTGTGCGTAACTGCTTCCCCTTTAATCTCTTGTGAGTTTTTCACTCAATGTTCTGTCTTAATTTTTTACTACTCCTCTCTTCTGTCCTGTTTAGCCGATCACAAGCCTGACTTGTAATCCGAGTCAGTCGGTGACTGAGTGATCCGTGTATCTGGTTTGCAACCATAAGGTCACCGGTTCGAATCCGCGTAGGAGTGGGCGTCCTCGCAGTAAACTCAGCCCACGCGCGACTGGTGGTGGTCGCGTGGCGGCGAAACGCCGTTACGGTGTACAGCTGGTGATTTATTTATTTTTTTGCTTGTAATCCGAGGGCGCGGGTTCGAGCCTGCGTAGGGACCGGGCGACCCTTGCAGTATCCTTAGCCCACGTGCGCCTGTTGGTGGTTGCGCGTCAGCGGAGCCTCGTTATTGTGTATCGGCGTACTACTGATTCCTTTGCCGGCCCGTAGCCTTAGTGATCATAAGCTTGCCTTGTAATCCGAGGGTGCAAGTTAGAGCCTGCATATGGACAGATCGACCCTCGCAGTATCCCTAACCCACGTGCGACTGGTGTGGTGATCGTTCGGTGGCGAAATGTCGGTACTGTGTACTAGTGTATTGCTGATGGTCTTCCTTTTTTTCTTAGTCTTACTAGTTCGTTGTGGTTATAGCATCCGGCAATCTACGGTGTGTTTGTTTTTCATTGCAGCCCCACAGGTCTTCTACGACCTAATCTGCGCATTTGACACGGAAGAACTAAGGATCCCAGACCGGAACCCTACTGCACCGTCAACTGTGCTCCTTTTCGGCTTCGTTTTCAGATGGCCAAGAATCGGCTCAGTATGTCTAATAATACTGTACCATTGAGTTTATGTGTAGAGAAAAAAAGTAAAAGGCTCACTTGCCACAAGCGTTACAAAATACTTAAGAAGGTGCTATTTCTTATTCTTCGTAATGTTTAGGTCAGAGAACACCATCGGAAACTGCGGAAAGAAGGGAAGAATAATATGAACAAAAAGAGTAAGTGCCTCTCAATATCTTGATTTTTGTAGAGAAGGACCCGGGCGTTCCAAGTAACTTACCGTTTCGGGAAGAACTGTTCCAGCATGTTGAGCACTTGAAGACTGTCGTTAGTTAATTTTCGACTGATTTTACAATATTTAGACCAGTGAGGTTCGATTATACAATCTTAAATATGGTGTTCGCGGACAAAATGACGATTCAGCTAGCGATCGCGTAAGACCTGTGTCATCAACGCGTGATGCTGAAGCGGTCATCAACGAATCAGATGTAATCCTGGAAGTTTTGGATGCCCGCGATCCACAAGGCACCAGGAATCCCGACATAGAATCAAAAGTTCTGTCATCTGGCAAACGGCTTGTTCTTGTCCTAAACAAAATTGGTACGTGCCACTGTATTTTATGGTTGGTAGACTTAATTCCAAGGGCAAACTTACAGCTTTGGCTGCTATATCTGAGAAGGAAATTCACGGTTTTACCATTTAAAGCCAGTCTGCAACATCAGAAAAGAAATCTGTCTCGCGCAAAATTACCTTGGAATCCAGCCCATTCTCTAAAAACTGCAACACAGTAAGTCTTCTCTTTATCTTTTATTACTTCTAGGGGATCTCGCGGTTTAGGTGTTGATGAACTGATGTCGCTTCTGGCAAACTACACTCGGACTTATAATTCCACGCAAGAAAATCGCTTGGGATTAACTGTGGGTGTTATCGGCTACCCTAACACCGGAAAAAGCGCTATCGTCAACACGTTGAAACGCCGAAAGGTTTGCGCTAGTAGTAACGTTCCTGGGCTTACTAAGTATGTGCACTCGAGTTGTTTTATTTTCAGGCGGCTGCAGCGAGTTAAGCTGGACAAGAACATCTTCCTACTCGACTCTCCCGGTGTATTTGTTTTGAAACAAGCTGACAAATCTGATTTAGCCTTGAAAAACTGCCTAAAAGTACGTCTCTTGTCCCGCTCGTTGGTACCTTTATTTATCATCATATAAATAACCATGGGACCGTTCACAGCTGTGGTTGCGAACATAGCCTTATTGTTATTACTATTATTAATCTTTTCATAATTCTCGTCAACGGTACATCAATACCGGTGTTTCTCAACATGTAGCCACAGTTGTCTTACTGATATGCAAGTCCAGGAGAAAAGAATAGGTTCCATTCTATAAGCTCATGTACCTCGCAAAATTTGCGAATTCAGCAGCCTAATGCTACTCAATAACGCGCGACAGAACCGAGGTAATTATCTTGCAAAACGCATCGTCCATGAGCCAGCGCGCTTGAAGTTTGCACTACTGCAGGTTCTAACCAAGCATTTCCACAGTCGACTAGGCCACGGTGAGGGTGTCCTGCTCTATGAGAGCGAGACTTGACTCCTTTCTGAAGATCTGAGGCGCCTTCAATTATTTGCTCATCGTTGGCGAGTACTAGGTAGTGATAATCATGCTAGCTCCTTAGAACAACTGATAGCACTGAATAAGTTGCGTTGGCTTTGGGCACATGCTACATGTGTCCGGTCACCGCTTACCTAAGAGGGCCTTGTTTAGTCTGCCAGGTGTAGGGTGGCGCAAGGCTCGAGCTATACAGAAGTTGATTTGGGAAGGGGGAATGAAGTCACTGTCGACCAAGCTGGGTGTCGTTGGTCCGTCTCGCCTTCCCGGCTTGAGTCCACATGACTCGTCCTGTGCTTGGCTCGAGACCTTACCATAAATGGCTCGAAGTCGATACCAGTGGCACGTCTACTGCCGTATCCTAGTCGGACTAGCTGTTTAAATTGTATTTGGTGGTGAATTATCTGCGGGATACTGACTGACTGACGCGGGGCAGTGAAAGCTGCAAGGAAGCTGCCTCGCTGCTGCCGCCTTATTTTTGCATGATAGCTAGCTGTTTGTGACGGTGCCGTTAACACAGTATAGGCACCTTGACCCTGAATATTTGCTGAGGGCGTTAAGGTTTTCAGTTTACTCTCCTTTTTCTCTTATTATTCTTCGTTCCGTAGCTCGTCATTATTGTCTGGCAACGAAGCATCAATTCAATTGGCTGAGGTACTGCTGCAGTTGTTGATTGTTTGATTGCCAGTCAGTTAGGCATCAAGCACGCTTTAACCAGGCATTGCAAATAGGACACGACCTAAAATATGTCGATGGCTGAATCGATAAGGTGTTAAGCTTATTATCCACAGTTTGCCGGCTCGATCGTACGTGGTTTTGTGGCATCCGGTTCCGGATTTGCTTGTCATTGTGGCCTCCTTAGGACAACCACAAGACGCCTGCGCTTACACTTTGAGTATGGGTGGCTTACGCTGCACACCCACAGCTCTATCCGCAAACCCCATATGCAGTGTAAGCCTGAAGGAATAAAACCGGGAGACATGTGGATGGGATCCACGTTTTATCAACGGATCCGGCCCCCATAAACGCATCAGCAGCATTCCTGTTTCCTAACTTGGGAATCATGCGTACCAGGCTTACACAAGGTAGTGGCTGGGTCGTACTCCGCTTCGCACTGGATGGAATAACTCTAAGCCTTTCACGGTCACGAGGACTCTGCACTCCGTTCCCCCCAGCAACGATTCAGTTTTCTAAAGCCAGTAATCCAGGTGGAGCATGTTAGACAGATAGGTACCTTCTCAACATTCACATCAAGTGCAGCCACACTGGGGATAGTAAGCAGTAGTTAGTCACTTGAAATGCAAGATAACCAACACGCAGTCACACATACAGACCAACTACAGCGATGATGTAGAACACGTACTATATTGACCGCATTATTGGTCTTGGTTAATAAATGAACTTGGAAGCAACGTACTTACAAGCGCTGCGCTGATAATGATTCATCTACAGATTACTCGCATACTCTTAAATGTTGGCCTCACATGGCCATGCTGATGTCTCAGGCACTCGCGACCGCATGTCCTACAGCACCGTGCGCTCCAAGTCGAGCTAGGTTCCATTGGCGCCTGTCGCCTCCGTACTCGGCGCTTCTTTTCCACATGCAATATTGATTTTTCTTGAACATGAGCTCCGCCCTGTTAATAAGCTCACGCCATTGGCGCTGATCAACTGCCGTTGCTTCCTAACACATTAATAGGTAGTAAAATCACCTTAATCTTGTCCTGGTAACGTAACTTCGGTTTTCCCACGTTCCGCTTTCCATATAGCAAATGCTTGGGCATTCGCATCGAATCCATGCGGCTGATGTCCCTGCCATCTTAAGTGCGGCAGTAGATGTATGCATTTCACTACATTCGTTTTAGAAGCGCTCTAGGTCCTGGACGTCCTTCCTATACAGCGTCCACGTTTCACTGCCGATCGTGTCGAGAAACACGACAACCGTGGGTCGCTAATAAACATGGCGGTGCTCCAACAATAGACGCAAGGTGAAGATGTGGTCGATGCAGCCCCGACCTCGACAAAACTCGGCTTGCTCTTCACGAATCAGACTTTTACGACTGCCAGTCAGTCTGTGGAGAATGACAGGCGCAAGCAATTTAGTGGTAATTGAGATCAGATTAATCTCTCTATGATTTCCGCATTCCGAACGGGAGCCTCCCTTGAAAATTGGGAGAATGACGGAGCGGTTCCAGTCTGTCGAAACATTCTGCTGCTCCTAAAGTTTCATTAGCAACTCGTGTAAATCATTTATTGGAGCAGGTCCCCCGAGTTTGAAGAGGGCTAGGGGAATTCTATCTGACCCTGCGGCTTTATGCAATTTCAACAGCCTGATCTTACGTTCGACTCCTGCGCGTGAGGGCGGATCCAAGGAGACGGCCTAGGGAGTAGGGCGCTCAATGCCCGAAGAAGAAAGCGATAACTCAGGTTGGTTAAATTGCATTGCAAAGTCTTCAGCGCAACGCTCCAAGCATTTTGACAGGCTGTAGATCGGTTGTCTACTCTCGTGGCGGATGGTGTCACTAACACCAGGTCTCCTACTACCTATTTCCCGTATCAGACGGAATAATTTACGATGATTGCCAACGGTAGCGGCTGTTTCCATCTCCGAGGCACGATGAGACCACCAGGTTTTGCGGTCTTTCTTCAGGCTAGCACGTAGGTTTGCCCTGGGGTTTTTGCGAGCCTCATTGTATTCGCTTCCACTCGGAATACGTCGGCGAGCGTCCATAAGTTCCAGAGACTGTGTAGAGATCCAATTTCTAGGTTGGCAATTTGATTTGCCATATGAAGATATGCCTACTAACAGTAACGTTTGACGAATATGCGACCAGTGAACTTCGATGGTGTTCAGTGGGCACTTACTCAGCCTGGATGTTAGCGCACTTTGATACACATTCAGAGCACCTGGCTTCGCCAGTTGGCTGGTGTCAATCCAACGTCGCGGACGTCCACTGAAACGCATTCGGAGGTCGGCGCAGACAAGTGTATGGTCAGTGTCCACGCTCATGCTCCAAATCGTGCGACAATTTTTTACACAGCGTCTCTAGCAGTAACTGATCGCGATATGATCGATTTGCGTCCATGGCTGGCCCGAGGCCGGTGCGCGCCAAGTCACGCTTCTGCGGATGCTGTGCCGAAAGTTAGTGCTCCCGAGAAAGAGACGAGCATCTTCACACAGCTGTAGCAATCGCTCACTGTTATCATTACGGGAGCCTACACCATGTTGGCCTCCCAGATGAAACTAATCAGAGGGCAGTATTTCGTTTTAGGCGTTTAGATCGCCACCCAGCAACACAATATCCGTGCTTCTTCTGTAACGAAGGAGATTGTGAAGTTGCTGCTAGAAATCACCGAACCAGTGCTACACTTTGTAAAGGCATAGACCGCAATGACAAACAGGTACTTTTTGTTCCCGCGCGACTTCGTAGCATGTAACGAACCACTTAATCTAAGGGCGCATATCCGACTGTTGACTGGGATCCAGTCGATCAGGACAGCTTCAGCCCGGGGACTCAAAACAGTACCGACGCCAACTTGATTGGCGTTTGAAGCTGCGTCATCGCCAGACAGGCGCAGTGAGAATGTGCCATGAGTGTCGCATGTGGAGGATCGAAGTATTAGCACGGAGCTCGAATCTTGCAGGCGGCTTTCTGATAAACAGCAACTATCGATCGTTAGGGTCTCTAGTGTGCGGGCAAGTGCTGCCTGTTGGCCAATCTGTAGCAAAATGCGCACGTTGAGGCATGCGAGTCTTAGCGAGACGCGACGACTCCAAAGAGAAACGTATGAAGAGAGGTTGTTCACTTGGTTGAACATGGATTTTTCGACTGAATTGGAGCGATGCCCTGCGACTGTGTGACTTAAAAGTAGAAGACAAGGGACTATTGAAGCAAGGTGGGGGAGGACCAAAAATTGGGGGATTGAAAATGGGGAGGATAAAAGTAAAGTTGGAGCGGGACGATAAAGATAAAAAAGCGCAAGAAGGGGGATAAGAAGACGGAATATCCTGAGCAGTGGTATCCAAACCCCTATCCACCCTGCTCGATGCAGCAGATAGGGCGCCGTTGATTATCCTCTGCGACGGCCAGAGCATCAAGAAATTGTTAGGAGAAAGGTTCATTGTATTCCGTGTGCAGTATACTATCAGGTTGCCCAGGCCTAGACAAGAGAACTATTAGGATTCGCAACCAAAGCCTTTGGTTATCTACCTGTTTAGGTTCTGTATCTTTAAGGGTGGACACTAAAACGAATGAATTCCGTAGCACTACTCTTCGACTGGGTGAAGCACAACCGTACCTGTATGCTTTAGTCCCTAAACGGTTGGAAATGGTTTGCATACTCTGGGTCGTCATCGAGTAAGGCGACATCATCAGCATAGTCTCAAATAACCACGCCCCTACTAGGAAAATACTCTAGGCCAAACTTTTGGATATCTCGCAAAGCTATCGAAAGGAAGTATTCAGTTATAAACTTAAGGATCAGCAGGGACTTAAAGGAACCCTGACACAACAACACTACTACTGAATGCGTATCGAAGTACGCTGACATGC